AAATTAGAATTACAAAACTGGGGTTTGATTTTGGCTCCATCAATTGTAAATTGTAAGACATTGGAAGTTTCTTGGTCATCTCAGGCTGTCACTGACACAGGCCCTTTAAGCAGCCATAGTTCATTGATTTTTAAGTTTCTTAAGAGAAACAATGGGTATAATTTAAAGTCAAACTTTATGTCAATACTAGGGTTTGTGTTGGGGACTCAGAATATAATAGTTGGGATTGGTGGGGGTCAAATATCATGATTCAAAAACCTCTGATGAGGAAATTTCACAGCTTCTATTTTATTACAGAAGATAGATGAAAAGAGTCTGTGTTGGAATAAACTGTACAATTAATGTGAACAGTTAAGGTCACAAACTTGTTATGCTGGAGTTTAGTTAAAACACATACACAATCATACACTGAATTTCTAGTTATGAAACTGAAATTTCCATTTCCATTTTAATGTTATGTAATAACAAGACCACCCAAAAGGTGGCACTCAAAAACAGATAGTCGTTATGTAACCTTCAAGTAAATACAATTTAATGAGAAAAAAGAGAGAATAACAGAGAAGCTTTCATATTCTTATAGCTTAGTATTTACATTTAAATACTAAATTTTCTTCTTAGCAACTTGTAAATATTAAGCAGTTAATGTGTTGAAGAATGGTTTCTGTTTTCAGTTCAACATAAAGCATTTGAAATCAATTTGTATTGAAGCTGTGTACATTTAATTTAATACATTTCAGCTTGTAAGATTAGGAAACTTTTTGTAATTATCAGAGACATGGGCATCTGTAGACTGATTTGATTTTCTTTGGGGTCATGCTTTTACCATAAATTTTGAATGAACAGATGATCATCTGAATCCAAATTCATACTATTGCATGCCATTTTGTTACAGAAAATGCTAGTTGAAAACGTTATGTTAAAATTGATTTTTTTTCACTTTTTAAATATTTGCTCTGTGTAAATAACCAAGTAGCTTAAGACTATAATGCATAAGTATTAATGTATTTTACTTCAAATTGATAGAAATATGTTCTATGAAAGGTTAGCAGTAGCTGTACATTGTAATAATTAACAAACATATATTGATATCACAGAGTATTAGGCCTAAATCAGTAGTTATGTTATAGTAATAGTACCCAAAGAGCCCATTGTAAATATTGATAACAACCATATATAACTAAATAATATAAACAGTATGCAAAGTTTTGAAACTATTTGGCTGGTGTAATAAATTATACTTCATTTACATACTCAGCTTCCTTATCAACTAAGAAATATAGCCAATAAGTTACCATATGGGAAATAACAACAAAAGATCACTCTTAGTACAGTTAAAATTGAAATTTTGTATCTGTGGGCTTCTGGACTGAACCACTGACTTATATAGCCTCACTCACCTTGTCATAGTCGTGTTTGATGGGGCAGCTTACCTGTGAGGCAGAATTTGCCCGTAGAGGAGCACAGTGGAAAGTGTGGGCAGCTGTTTCCCAAGATAAACAAAGAAGAAAAGTGCTGGCTTCACTTACTCTGGTCCCTCTTTCAACTTCGCCTGTTAGATAGTTCCCCCCAGGTATGTAAGTTGTGAGGGAATGAGTGAGAGGGCAAAGGAAGCTGTGAATTTACAACAGTGGAATCTTCTCCACATAGAAGGAAGGACCAGGAGTGAAGAAGCTCTTCCACCTATGCACAATTGGTCTTTCTAATGATGAGTTCTTTCCCACCTTGAAACAGCTCCCTGATAAAAGGGAATAAGGGACCTTTATCTTGTGATGGTGCCTGTTATCTTAGAATCCTGTTAATATGGAGGATGGGTAGACACTTGAAGCAGGGACACACCTTAACAAGTGCTGCAGTGTGAAGGTTTTGCCCTCTTCCCCACATTTATACATTGAAATCTAAACCCCAATGTGACAGCATTAGAAGATGGGCCCTTTGGGAGGTGACTAGGTTGTGAAGACTTTGCCCTCATGAATGGAATTAGCATCCTTGTCAAAGAGACCCCAGAGAGCTACCTAGCCCCTTTCATCATGTGAGGTGACAGTGAAAAAATATTTGTCTGTAAGGGAGAGAGCCTTCACCAGATGCCAAACCTGCCAGTGCCTTGATCTTGGACTTCCCAGTCTCCAGAACTATAAGAAAAATGCCCATCAACCAATGAATGGATTAACAAATTGTGGTATATGTATACCATGGAATACTATCCAGCCATAAAAAATATAGGGACTTTACATCTTTTATGTTTACCTGGATGGAGTTGGAACATATTCTTCTTAGTAAAATATATCAAGCATGCAACAAAAAAGTATCTAATGTACTCAATACTATTATGAAACCAATATATAACCACATAGACATTTATACAAATGATAAAACACAAATATAGTCCAGTAAGAAGGAGGGGCGAGGATGAATAGGGGAAGGGAGGGGTGAGGGCGAGTGGAGGGAGGAGGGAGGGCACTGTGCCCCTAATGTGCACAATGCAAGAATACATTTCAAAACAACTAAGAGTAAATGATAAATGTCTTACAATGTTACATTAATCATTTTGATCTAAGGATTCCACATTGCATATCAGATCATCACACTGTACCCCATAAATGTACGCAGTGATGATTTAATGAAAAATTAAATTAAAAAAGAAAGAAATTTCTGTTGTTTATAAACTATTGCTATTTTTGTTATTGCAGCTTAGATGGCCTAAAGCAATAGGGGAACCTCTATGTTCCTTTGACCTTTCAACACTCTTCTGGAGCTTCAAAGCCATTTTGGTTGTTCACCTTAGGTTCTTTGTAGGCAATTATTATTGGACAGCTTTGTTCAATGTCAGTAAATGGTAGACTTTCATTTGGGCAGAGGAGGCTAGCTCCTAACATGCCTGGGCTCTTCACTTTCAGATTCTAAGATCATGCTTCCTTTCACATTGCTTTCCCATCTGGTCTGATAGTAAGAGACCTAAGCAAGCCTGCTGGGACAGGTGGGGATGAAGGGACTATCCTCAATTCTTCCTTGCAGGTAGCAATGCTCCAGCATGCTAGAACATCGGTGTTGGTTTGAAAATGTCTGCGCATTAGCTTGGAATATTAACATAAATTTATTGTGCTGGCAACAGTAATGCTCACTAAATATCCTGTTTATTCCTCTATATTTTATAATCCACTTTCACCACAGTTCGGTGAAACCTTGGGAGCCGAAATGAATTTTGTCACTTCTGATCAGAGGTGATGATAATTCCCTGCACAATTCTCCAGTTTCTTTATTCCTGTGTCATAGCAACTGAGGATAACACAGCACCAGGGATAAAGCCTCTGTCTGTGGGACGGGACACCTGAATGATTTTGCAGCAGAGCTAGCTGATGACTCATGTGGGACAGACACATAGTGCATGGAAGAAACTCCTGTCAAGTCACTGAAATTCAGGGATTGTCTGTTAGGTCAGCATAAATTAGCCTACCTTGACTAATACAGTCATTCAGAGGTCTGATATATTGAAAGAATCCAAGTTAGTTGTGTTTCATTGGAGGCACTTTTACATTAGGAGAGAGGATTTAATGCTGGGCTTGTGTAGATCCTCATCAATGTGAAACAAGAGCAAGCGTTTAGAAGACAGAATTTGGGATGGGTTGAGAAAGCTATGCCGGCTTGGTAGACTCTGAGCAAAGGTGTGAGAAAGGAAATATCTGTGGTATGAGAAATCTGGATTGAAGAGAACAGGGACTTAAGCTATAGAGTTACACAAAGTGAATTTTTGTAAGGATAAAGAATCTGGCATGAGAAAACAGTTAGAGATTCCTTATAATTCTGCAAGAAATAGGAAGAATGGAAGTGGCCAGATGGAAGCAGCAGGCAGCAGGCAGCAGGCCGGGGCAATGATATTGGCAATACTGCCTGCAACACCTAGATGAGGTGGCGCTGCCCCTGATTATCTAGTATCAAAAAATGTCCAGCATGTGATGGATATTTTATAGCCTCACTCATTAGTTTACTAGATTGTTCAGTGATAGGAGAAAGTGAGAGGAAGAAATAGGATGCCAAGGATAAAAAAATGATGACATGATATTGGAAGAATGGCAGTATCTGTAGATAGTAAAAAGGAGAACCAACTGGGGTAAAGACAACCGATTTACTCCCAAATGAGTTTTGCTTGCAGTAGGGGTCAGCTCCCTGGATACTTGTATATAAAGAAATGAAACGTAATTAAAAGTTAGGAGTTACATATTTGGGATTAACACTAAGTGGTGATAATTACTGCCCTAAGATTATAATTACAGGGAGAGAAAATCGTCTTGCTGCAGGAACAAAAAATATATATATGCACAATACATCTGGAAAGATGTGCTGATGACTGAGTTTGTTTTCCTGGTGGGAAATAGAAAGCAAGTTCTTTGAGAATTCTATCAAGTGTCCTTTGTCACCAGTTGCTAAGCTCTTTGCCATGTGCATGTTGCCTTTTTTGTTGTTGTTACAAATGTCTGTGAAATTATATTAATGTGTTTATGATTTTCATCCCACTGGAATCCAGCTTAGGAGAATATCTGATGCAATAGCCCAATCACTTTCTGGTTTCTTGCACAATTTAGGAAACGTGGCATATTTCTTCTTGGGCTGCAACAGACTTGACTTAGTTCATCCCTACTCATTAAAAACCCAACTCTTTTGAAGTAGATCATGTAACGATATATTGTTTTACCTCACAAAATCCAGAGCTTTATGAACATTTTGGTTTTTCCATAGTTCTAGGAGAGTTTAGAAATTTAATGAGTCAATGGAAACTTTAGGGGAATCTAGACAGTTTGTTTTATAATTCAGGGTTAGCAACTTTAGAGGCTCCTGAAATTCTACAATGTCAAGGTGTTAAGATGTGTCCTGAGCATATGATTAGAATGTCTTAAGATATACTTTATTCAGGTCTTCTGTGTTATTTGGGTTCATGAAGAAGATACTATGTGTATTGCTTCTGAAAATATTTTATATGTATTAGTCAATAAACATTTATCTGGTGCTCACTTGGACAGTGTGCATACTAAAACTGGAACAATACAGAGAAGATGATTAGCATGGTCCATGGGCATGGATGACATGCAAATCTGTAAAGTGTTCCTTATTTTTATTTAAAAAAAATGATGACCTTGTATGTTTTGTAACAACTTGGATAGAATTGGGGACCATTCTACTAAGTGAAGTATCACAAGAGTGAAAAAACAAACAAATTCAATACTAAATTGGAATGAGTTGATCAACACTTAATAAACACATATGGAAGTAAAGCTCATATGGAAGTAGTTGGGGGGGGGAAGAGGATGGATAAACTCACACCTAACTGGCACAATGCCCGCTTTCTGGGTGGGGGGACACTTACAAGTTTGGCTTAAAACATACAAAAGCAAACTATGTAACCCAAATGTGTGTACCCCTGTAATACTCTGAAAATAAAAAATAAATTAAAGAAAAACATTTGTGGGATGTTTTCATGTGCTGGGGTATTCCACTAAGTGTGCAGAATACAGAGGTGAATGAGACATAGTTTCCAAATTCAAAGACCAGAACCTGCCTTCTAGAAAGGAAGGCATACAGAGAAAATAAAATTACAGTACACAGTGATAGATTTTGTGTTGGAGGCATGCACAGAGTGACTAGCCAGGTAGAATAAAGGAGAAGTAGATCTTCTAGAGCTGGGTAGGAGGGTAGGTGTTTGTCAGGTGAAATGAAGACAAGGGACAGGAAGGCCATTGCAGGCAGAGGACCAGCAAGTGCCCAGGCCAGGAGATGAGAGACCGTATAAGTAGCTCCATAAGGTTGTAGCACAGAGTGGTGAGAGATGAAACTAGAGAGATAAGCAAGAGCCAAATCACGATAGACTTTGACTCTTCAATTGTTTGTTTAGTTACAGCTCACTTTGTTCCAGAAGAGTTTTCAAGAGCCTTGAAGGGACATGAATACCACACTAAGACATTTGGCGCTCTTCCTAAGATGTTGGCAAGCCTCAGGAGGAAAGCAACATGGTCAGATTTGCATTTTAGAAGTTTAATTCTATCTTCTTAGAAGGGAGTGAATTGCAAGGAACAGAGACAGAAGCAGAGAACCAGTCAGTAATTTGCTGCAGTTAGTCAGGTAAGAAATGCATCCTGAGGGACTGAATGAAAGAGGAGCCTTCGGGGATGGAAGGAAGAAAGAGATACAAAGTAAAGCCAATCAATATGGGTTGCTAATAAATACTTTCTCAGTGAATGAGTTGTGACTAGCTAGATGTGTGGGGTGAGACAAAAGGAGGAAGTCAAGGATGAATTACAGGGTTAGGCTCGGGAAACGAGGTGAGTGACAGGAAAAGTCATTGCTTGGGTACTGAAGGCTTTCCTTCTGTGTTCTTTGTCTGCTTGAGAACTGTAATTTTTTAATTAATTAATTTATATTTCTGATTAACATCACATAGGGTACATATGGTTAGAGTTGTGTTTAAGTCTTCAGGCAGGATGTGTCCATGTACCCCAACGTTGCATCTGTTAGATGGTAGCTTATTGAGTACCTACCTTCCCTTCTCCCCCCACAAGTTTTTCTGTTGTGTGGGCCTGTAGTTGTTCATCTACTAGTTTCAAATTAGTATCGAGTATGTGGAATGCTTATTTTTGCATTCTTGAGATACTTTACTAAGGAGAATGTTCATCCACTCCATCCAGGTAGATACAAAAGATGTAAAGTCTCCATCATTTTTTATGGCTGAATAGTATTCCACAATGTACATATACCACAATTTATTTGTTCATTTCTGGGTTGATGGGCACTTGGGTTGTTTCCACATCTTTGTGATTGTGAACTGAGGTGCTAAAAACATTTGAGTGCAAAACCCTGTAATTGCTGTACATGGATTCATCTTATTAACAAATGCCTGGAGTGTAAGTCAGTGACTTCCTTGATTGGCATAATTTTTCTAGCACCAAGAACAGTATTAACCACACAAAATGTGATCACTTACTTTCATTGGCTTGATTACAGTTCGATTGTTCTTAAAACGGTAATTTTGAAGATGTTTCCGTTTTCTTTAATTTCTGGTATTTTTCTTAGATAATTTCTTTCTCTTTTTCTGCATACCAGAGCTCAACCTTGAGAAAGCCCATATTCTTTTGTAGGGTGAAATAGAGGTGAAATACTAGACTTAATAAATGAGAAGCATGTTTTGAAGTACTTTTGATAAAATCAGTATTTTCCATTTCAGAATGACTGGCAAGTCCTGATTATCAGTTGGTGTTTCTTGATTGTACACAAAAGAAACTGACTCTACCTGAGGACCTAAAAGAACTGTGGTAAGTTACTGGGAATTTTCAGACTTGACGTCTAGTCTGGAGAAACAGGGTTGGAAATAAGCAAGAGGAAAAGCGGGTGCAGAGAACCGACCAAGACCACAGGAAGTGTTCTGTAGCATGAAGGATCTGGTCAGGAAGCCACTGTGGAAATGAATGAACCATGACAACTTCAAAGCCTTTTGGTCCTTCTGCTCAAGAATGAAATTTTGGAAAGCTCCAAATTATTGCCTATCTTAAATAGCATCTCCACTGCTTAGCTAGGAGGGGTTGGGCCCCTCATTAGAAAGAGATGGAAATAATTCCTCCCACATTGATAAGTCATGGTGCACTTCAGAAGAGAAAAAGGAGGCCAGCAAGCCAAATAATTATAATGTCCACTTCAAGGCAATTTTCTGCTTTTATTGTTTTCTGTCTAAAAAGATTCTCAAAAACAGAAGTGAACTGTTGTGAAGTACGAGCATGAGACATTTATTTTCCGACTAGAAGAAACTTGAGTCTTTTTCAACTTAGTTACTCTCTTTGACAAAAGTTTTATTATTTCACTTATGAAAAGTAAAACGGATATTTTAAAAACAGTGGGTTACCAGCCCTGAACTAAAGAGACACAATGGGGAAATTTTAGACTTGGATAGGAATATTATTTGGATTCTGCAGGAGAAGATTGAATAGGTAGGTGGTGGGGTCGGAAAGAAAACATGTGAGGAAAGGAAGGAACACACACAGAAGAAAAATTCAGCATTATTTGGATAAGCTTCTGAACAACATTCAAACCAAATCTCTAACTCTTAAGCATCCGCAGGGAACACCCACCACTAATTACAGGATAAAACATACAAGAAGCCACTTGAGGACTGTAGAGCCTGAATCAGTCATCCTGGTGGTAGTTTTTAAGATGTGGCTGTGGTTGTTTGTTTGGTGGTAGGAGAGAGTTTAAATTTACTTTCGCTGGCTCTAGTAGATGTTGATATTTCTTCCATCTCTAATCTCATTCCAGAGCTAAGAAGATACCTGTGCCAGCGATGGATTTGTTTGCTATACCAGATAATCCTGGTGGCACAAAGTCAAATCACTGTGAAAGATGTTTATGCAAATCTGGGAAATAGTACTATAATTCTGTTTGAATTTTGGTTGGAGATTACTGAGAAGGTTTCCTGTTACATTCCTTTTGAGGAAATAAGCAAAGAAGCTGCTTTTATGGTTGATTCTTAAAACGATGGAACGATTTTAAGTTGGTCTATTCTTATAACCATAATTTTAATGATGTTTCTATTTTCTTTCATTTCTAATATTTTTCTTAGATTTTTTTCTTCCTCCTTGTCTGCATAGCAGAGCTCAGCCTTGAGAAAGTCCATATTCTTTTGTAGAGTGAAATATAGATGCAACACTAGACTTAAGGGGCGAAAGGTACTTTTTGGAAATCAAATTAGTATTTTCTGCGAACAATCTTATTCTGTTGTTACAGGTATTTGACATGTTGTAGAATGGCTTTATAAATCTATATAGTTGAGGTTTATCACTTCGTTTAGACTTTCTCAGTTTTTCTTTTCTTTTTTCAAGATAAACATGATCTAGAAGAGCAAATCATGGATTACCATTCATTTATTTATATTTATTGTTTTTCTTCTCATGAGTGAGTTTTTATTTTTGATATCTCTATGGAGAAAAGATGTTTAGGGAATGGTAAATGGATAATTAAGGGGTAATTCGACAAACTGGAATTCAAATGGGAAATCAGAGAGCACAGTTGCTTAAGGAGTAACTGAATTATTTTAATCTGTCACAGACAAAAAAGTCTGATGCGCTCCTTTTGCTTCAGAATGGTTTCCTGTCCTCACTTCCAGGAGAATTGATACACTGCCAGGGATACTGGACACGTTAAACATCACCTTGTAAGTTGGACTAGACAATGTCTTAAATTCTTTCCAAAAATGAGTTTCTATGTAACCATTGTAGCCAGGGTATAGTCAAGGATAGGAGCCGAACTGCCTGAGTTTGAGTCCTAGCTCTTAACAATAGAAGCAGCAATAAGTTGCAAACAAGTGACCTTTGCAGAGCTCTATCAGTATATGCTAACTGGTGAAGAAAAACCTGAAAACTTTACTTTGTAAGTTGCTTTTTCTTTTTCCTTTTTTCTTTTTATTTTTTTTGCAGTTTTTGGCTGAGGCTGAGTTTGAACCTGCCAAGTCTGCCATATGGGGCTGGTGCCCTCCTCTTTGAGCCACAGGCACCACCCTGTAACTTGCTTTTTCACATGGTGGTTCTGAAGAGGTAAGAATGTGTGCATGCATGTGTGTGCACACCCATACATATGTAGACAGGTAAGTGAGTGTATATATACATGGGTATTTACTGTATTCTGTGTGTGCAATAAGAACTGATAGCCTTAATAAAGATTGGATTAATGGTCTTGATATTACCAAGCTATGAACAAGAGGAATTTCGGTTGAGCATCTTAATGCTGCTATCCCAGACCATTTCATGTGGAATATAATTATAGCAGGATTGAATCAAGGTTCTAACTTCTCTCCTGGCATATTATATTTTTGGAGGCAGAGATAAGATAATTAGGTAGGTGGAGACTAAATGGAACCCAAGATTGACTCTCCTTTATCCCACAAGCTCTTATTCCAGTCTAGGAGGGGACTATCATTGAAGTGAATATCAAGACATTGCTCCATCAGTGGCAGTCGAGACTAACTTCTGATGTAGAACACCGAATGACATGTTGGTGATGAATATTGAGTAATTCAAATCCTTGCAAAGATTTATTTTAGCATTTCATTAGTCATCTCTGCCTTCTTTCTAGCCTGT